ATAGAGTAGTTGTTTAGTCATGAGTCAAAAATTGAATATATTACATATTTAGGTTAACAATTTGAATTTTTGGTAAAATTAATGAGTATTCATAGTTCAATTAATACTGTGATTAATGAACTGCATATATATATATATATATATTTTTTTTTTTTTACGGAGATTATTGAACTACATATAGTAGATGAGTTTAATATGTAAATTAAGAGGTTTGGCACATTGGTATACATTTTTTTTTTCTTAGGAAGGGATAGGTCTAATGTTCAAATCTCCTTTTACCTTTCCAACAAATTATAACTTTTATTTTATTTCATCAAATTATAAAAATATTCAATTGAGTATAATTTCATCAACAAAAATTAATATTTAAGCAAGGACTCGTTTAACTACTCAAAATGACTATATATATATATATATATATGATGTAATTCCCTCCTTCTTCTCAAGAATATTCTTTTGACATTAATTAGATGGCAGTTTGGGCTCGTATTCAATTAGAAATCAGTTAATCTGGAACCATCACACTTTTTTTTTCCCCTTTAAGGTCACATAAATAAAATAATAAATAGTACTACATATCGAATTTCTTGAAAATTAATTTTTTTATTGAGGGCTTTCACATCAATACGTATGCATGGTTGAAAAAAAAAATCATATTTGCAAACTTTAATATATTTTATTAAGGTCAAAGGAATAATTTGTCTCGTTTTTATTGTTCCTTATTTCTTACGGTATATATTGCTATATGAGTTATATTAGCTCTCCTCTATTTTTTTTTTTTATGGACTCTATTTTTCTTTTTTTAAATTACTTCATAAGGTTTATTTGAAATATTTAATTTTAAATTTTAAATTCTTATCAATTAAAATATCTATTTAAAAACGTTCCAACATACATTGTACGAAACATCTAATGTCACATACATACATTTTGTCAACTCGCTTCTATTTTCATCCAAATTTTATTAATAACAAAGATATTAGTTTTTTTTATTATTTATATGATAATCTAGCTAATATTTGAAGTATCATGTGAACTTTGCGAAAACTGGTTGAAAGTTAAGCATTGATCTTTTGTTGTAGCTAGCGAGTCTTCTAGACTAAGAGGTTAAATGAAGGCACCGTTTAGTGAAAACGGTGCCGCTTTTGTACGTACTGAGAAATTCTACACCCTTAACATTCAAGTTGCCAATTAGAATTTGGTGACAATATTTAATGAACAGAAACATGCCCGCTTCCGTAATTGAAGATAAAGAAAGAATCATCCGCTTCCTGCGTGTCTCCTTTATATCTTCCTATTTTTTAACATGCAAAAATTATTTTAAATGCTAATATATATTATTCTAATTACAATTTTATCCGAAACAGTTTAAACATCCATTCAAATGACCTTAATATATCTTGATATTTTCCGGTATATAAAGTATTGACCTTGTTAAAGACAGTCTATCTACCATATATTAAGAGCTCTTTATAACCTCTCCTTAAAAATGACTTGATAATCTTGACATGATTTCTGTCTTTGCACTAAGCAGTAAGAGCAATCTACTGTTTGACGAAACTTAGTATTCACCTCAAAACTTAGGTAGCTTAAAATTTTAAGTGAATTAGTTTTTGGACAGATCACCCTATACTAGCTAGCTGTAACAGTACAGCATATACACCGAATACACAATTATATAACATTAACTATGAGTTTAGTTCTTATGGTTCCAAGGGAAAAACATGTTGACCATGTTCCTCTCTTGTATATATATTTGTCAAACACGAGGGGGGATGTGGGGTGACTCCATGAGAAGATATTGATCCTTGCTTGTGAAAGCTATTTTATTAATTCATAAAGAAATCTTTGCTGTTGAAAAGGCATATTTTGACTACCTAGATTGTCTTCTTCTGTTTCCGAAGTGGTAGGGTTAATTTTATATAGGCCATAAAAAGATTCCATACAATTTTACTTCATATGTATGTTTATCTTTGGAGAGTGGAGACAATAGTTTTGTGTGCTCAATGGTCAATCATAGGGCTAGATTAGCTATACTTAGGTTACTTGGTACAAAACTTCAAAATTAAAAGACCACCGTAAAATTCTTACAAATTAATTAATTTATAATCCAAGATATAGTACGTTACTTTTCTTTTTACGAGTGTATATATATATATATTATAAAATAATCATAGATTTACCAATAAATGAAAATAGTACATCAAGTTAACTTATGATAGGTGCTATATAGGCAAAGGAAACTATAAATAATGTA